TGGCCGCATAAATCTGAATGTGTTTAACTGGGTTTTCAGCCCCCTTATCCCAGATTTATCTTGTCACGCTGGCAGATGATGACCTCTGCCTAGACCCGTGCATCAGCTGACAATGTTTCCCCTTTTCTTGTTATTAAAGTTTCACACTGCATCTTGAACTTTTCTCTCTCTGCTTATTTTATCATACAGTCTTCACCTAGAAGTTTAATTTGTTCACGTCTGTTGATCTCCACAGCTCTCCTATGTTTCTCTAAGAGTTACAGAAGCTCTTACATGATCAAAGGATTGTTCCTTGTCCCACCTTCTCTGAACTGGAACCTCTAACGTCCAGCTCTAATATCTATCGTCTTGAACTTGTCTAACATGGATTTCTTGCACCCAGCCTTAACAGACCTGTCACACCTTGATCTATCGACCAAAGACAAATCTGCCCAGTAATACAATAAGAAAAAACCTTTCATTCCTAGTTAGATTTCTATGTGAAATATCTGCTGTGCCGGGTCGCCCAGGGTGCCTTTCTGTGTGGAGTTGGCATGTTTTCCCCCTGCATGCGTCGGTTTCCTCCGGGTGCTCCGGTTTCCTCCCACAGTCCAAAGACATGCAGATTAGGTCAACTGGCTACTCTAAAATTGCCCATAGGTGTGAATGTGGGTGTGTGTGGCTGTTTGTCTGTGTTGGCCCTGTGGTGGACTGGCCACCTGCCCAGGGTGTACCCCGCCTCTCGCCCGAAGATGCTGGGATTGGCTCCAGCTTCCCCTCGACCCAGACGTATACAGCGGTATAGACAATGGATGGATGTATATCTGCTGTATGAGTGTGCAGCTTCCATTCATCAGAGTTGGTCCTGTTCATACTTCTCTAGCAGATTCGAAATGGCAGCTCTTACCTACATAAAGTATCAAGCTTAGGTTAAACATAATCCTCTACATTGGGGTACCACATGGTTCAGTCCTTAGGTAGCTGCAGTTCTCTAAGATGGGAAAACACTCATCAGGGCAGAAATTCCTGATCCTTTTTCCTATCTTATCACATCTGGAACTGTGATCTTTCTTTTCCATTATTCAGACCTTGGAATTCCTTCAAAATTCTTGTAACAATATATTGTAACACAGTCATCTATTAGCCCAGTTACAATGCACCTTCGGCCCTGCTCTGTTGGAAAGGCCATGCTCAAATGACCTCTACCAGGATCTACCTGAATGATTACTTACAAGGGTGACTGTGTGTGTTACTGCTGCCAGTGCACACTCACTACTATAATTAGGATTGGGACTTAAAGCCAACTTTTTTTCTGACACAGAAGACTTCCCAGTCAATGAGTCAGATGTTTACTGTCTTAGCATCTGAAATGTTGCACACCTGCATGGCAACATCCAGATCTGCTCAATCCAGCCTTCAATAAAATGTCATTACAAACATGAATGTATAATAATCTCAATGGGGAAAACTTATCAGGTGTCTTTGGCCAGTCATTTGAATAAAGATTGATGCCGAAAGGGCATCCTAACATAATTCTGATGAAACAACGCTTTGAACGCACATTGGTTCCCTTGCAGACATTTTAGAAGGAAGAGTTATTGATTATAGTACAGCAGAAATGTCAGAATCAATAGACGGAGCTCAGACAGATGGAGTTTGGCTCTGAAGTTTATTTGGAAATGACTGAGGGGAAAAAGAAAAGGAAAGGTCACATTGCCGGGGAAATCAGTTTACGTTCTGTCAGGGCAAGAGCAAAGAGACACCGATATATCTGGAGCTTGTGTCAGTGGTGGATGCCATCAAGCCTAATGGAGCCTACAAGAACTGTTCCACAAACTTCCACTTCCCTTAATCAACCTTGGAAATTTGGCTTAGAAAAAAAAACAGATACATCCAACTCTTCCTCCCGGCTTCTGGCGAGATGCAGGCGTTGAAAACGAAAAGTGGAGAAGCGGACTCACATTTCAGATAAGGGTGCTAGGACATTCAGCAAGATGATAGTACAAGCATGAGATGGATCTGAGTGAGGCGTCCCATTTGCAACCGGGCGAGATTTAATGTTTTTATTTGATATACAGAATGTCTCCAGGTGGTCAACAGTTAAGCATTCATTTCGCAGATAAATGTTGCCTTGGGTTCCATAAAGCCGGAAACTCTATGGTGAGTCATGATCAAAAGATGTTTAACAAATGCTCTCCTGCAGTATGTTTGAATTCCTAAAGGAGTAAGGTCAAGCACCACCGAAAGATCAGGATCAGTCATTATGGGACACAGAAAACGCCTTTGATTTTAACTCACTGATGAGCCCCAAAGCTGGAGGCTTTACGGAAGGAGGAGAAAAGTGAGAAATGGAAAAAAATAAAAGCTACAGCAAAGAATGTTTTTAATCGCAATGTTAAAAAGAGCTTCCAGAAGCAGGAGCACGGAGACAGACATACTTCTTTTTCGCAGAATTAGGTTTTTGACCTTCACTCAAACATGCTATCAGTTAAATTGAAGAAAACCAGTTAAGTGTCGAATGCCATTTCAATGCTAGTATTGTGTGTGTTTTGCAAAGCTCGGCATAAAGCCACAGAACAGAAATTATAACTTCATAATATGAGGACTCTTCAGTCGCCTTGCCCACAGCCGGGCTTGACGTCTTTGTCTGGTTTCCCTTCCAATAAGCAGCCACTCTGTCCTGCAGTTTCCCCACACGACCCATTGTCAGTCTGAGGCTCGGTGATGAGGGTCAAAGGTCAGTGGTTGTGCGACAGTGACAAAGGCTCTGGTTTATCCTCTCACCCCCCCTCCAGCTAGCCTCCATAAAAGACCATAATCATGTTTTTGTTTTTGTCATCGCCATGCCGACCTCTGGCATGGACTACGTAAGGATTCCCTAGCTGGCACTGACCTGGCTTAACAGATGATACTCTGACAGCTCAGGACCAGGACCAGAAGTCATGGGTTCACACCCCCAGTGGAACTCCACTGTTTATTTATTTAGTAAATGTTTTTATCCAAAGCGATGTGCATTTCTGAGAAAGCAAGGTCAGACAGTCCCTGAAGCAACTGGGGGTTAAGGGCCATGCTCAAGAGCCCAATGGTGACATCACTCCACCGACCCTGGGACTTGAAGTGGTGACCTTTTGATTGGCACAGCATCTGCTGAGCCACACATCACCCCCATCAGTGAAACCAGCTTCAGAAAGATATTCAGCTATGTAAGTGGTCTGTTTTTGACCATATACCAGTCATATACTCGAACAGATAAAAGGCTCCTATATTCCTTTGTTTTGTTTTGCATGAAATTCTTGATGTGAGAAGCATGTCAATCATGATGGTGAAGAGGGCCGTGTGACACGGGGATTAGTAAGGCAAGGAGAGGATTCTTGGCTTTTTCTTTAGAGAAATAACAAGGTTTGCTCAGGAAAGTGGTCAACACAACACGGGCTGTACCATGAAAAAAGAAATAGTCTCAGAGGACGTGAAAAAAATGAAAAAGAAGGGAAAAAAAATAGGTAAGTGTGTTGGGCACAAAAATGACCGCAGCAGTGCTCGTGGCCTAGTGTCTAGGTTGTAGTCCAGGTTACCGGAATGAAACAGGACAAAGCTATTTCATTGGCTGTGTAATCCTTTTTATAGCCAATAAGGTACCAGTAGCTAATCAGCCCCAGACACTTCCCCACCCTCCATTCCATTTCCTCATTGACAATATGAACGAAATGCTGAGCTCACATATCGGTCGGCATGGCAGACTCTCAGACATCAGAGAATTTAAACCTCATTGCGTTTACTAGCCCTGGCAGTCTGAAGGGTCCTAGAGGTGATTTAACATGTCTCAGCACACTGAGGCCAGCGTCGCACGACACACCCCGCCCACTGCTAAGAGCTATCGTCCAATTAGCGGCACACGACGCCTGTCGCCGTGTCACCCAGTGTTGTCATGGCAAGGTGGGATTGCAACTTCACACTTGTAATGAATGTGAAAGATCATTTCAAAGACTAATCACTAATAAGTCTTAGAAAAACACAGATGATATAGGAAACAGAAAACAAAAGATAATCTTGACAGAATCATGCAATATATACATTTAATGTCCCCATCATGAGTTAAAGTATATTTTAAAACACTAATGAGCCTCTTGTCTCCGCATGAACGCACACAGACGTGCCGGTTCTGTTTTCCACACATTTGCCCTGGCTGACACAGCAGACGCAATTTTCACCTCGGAAGCAAGGACGTGTCTTTGCGGTGTATAATTTCTGAGAGCGGTGACAAGCTTCCCTGCCACAAACCCGCGTGCGTCGCGTCGAGCCCGGTGGAGGTGAAAGTCGCCAGCCTCGCTTCAGCCGGCTCCCTGAAGCTTTCTCCATTCCATCCTTTCATTAAAGCTCAGACTCAACTCATTAGGCACTTGTATAATCTATAACCTTTTCATTTGCCGCTACCCGTGCCGCAAAAATAATATCCTAATGTGTTTCTTTGTTTCGTCTCATGCAATGCTGCCCGACTGTTTTATGTTTTTCTTAAGGTGTATCGATCACTGGGGCTCTTTAATAGGACCCTGCAGAGGCCTTACAAACAGTCCTGCCCTGGCTTTGGTGTGAAGCAGGAGCTTGTCTTCTTCATATTCTTTTCCCGCAGTGTCGAGGAGCAGCACCGGCTTGGTTGCCCCCTTATGGCCGGGCTGACCAATAGCACTGAGGTTTCCCCGTGTAGCTTGACCCAGGACAGCAGCAAGCTGCATTTCACACAGTATTGCACACTGACTTAGTTGGGGCAGGGTAGGGGAATATATTGCTGCATATATTGTATGTTTATTGTAGCTATTGTATGCATATAGGGTGACCACCTAATCCATGTCAGGAGGGACACTTTGAGCTACTTCGGGTTTTACAAACTACTTTAAAACTGAAAAGGCTCCCATGCTCGGCTAAATTATTTGGTTCGTCTGGTACTTTTACTGGTTTGTTTCCTTGATTGACAGACTCATCTAGCTGTTTCACATTAACATTAGTGACACGCCCATGATTATAGGAGACTGGCCAATCAGTGAACGTAGCAAGTACTCAGTGCTTAAGTGAAATCTGGGTCCTTTTAATTGAAATGGTTGAAATGGTAGTTTACATACCCTGTTTTAGCTGTTGTAGCTGAATTAGGTAGTCACTCTATTTGTGTATTGTATTTATTGTGTTGTACTTATTGTAAATATAGTTAACTGTTACATGCTGCCTAACTCTGCAGGGAGGAGCGCAAGTAAGAATTTCATTGTACTTGTACCTGTACTTGTATACATGACAATAAAGTTTTGAATGTTGAATCTGGCATCTCTGTGGGAGCAACAAGGCACTAAACCAAACCCTGTGCTAATCCAACAGGAACAAATACCATAACTGTAAGGATAGGTACTAAAGACACTCCAACGTTCTTGATTAATGAATTGAATACAGATATCATTAGCAAATTATGATTGGTGAAAAGAGAATTTCCCCACGGGGATCAATAAAGTATCATCGTTAATTTTTTTTTTCAGGTCAGGGAAAGACCTGAAGACCTCAGCTGGCAACAATAATGGTGATAAAGAATGACTGGCCAGGGATGGGATGGAATTAATATTAGCAGGCTCATTTACTCTTTATATGCAAATTCACTCACAACACCCATAGTGGGTATGCACATGATGTCACAGTAAGACCGATTCATACTTCACTTTTCCACATGTGTGTTCGGTTCCGGATGGCGGGACCTTTCGTAAATGTTGTCATTCTGGTTTGGCCCAGATTTTTATGTCTAGCGGATACCTCGCACGTCCGTGTGCACATCGACCGCGCATGTGCCAGATAATTGATCAGGTATTTCCAGCAGGGGGCAGCATGGACTTTCACAGATCACAGGTCAACTGCGAAACAGTAGAGGAAGAATAGCTCTTGTTGTGGTTGTAGTAGTTAGGGTGAGCAGCTGTGAGAGGTTGGTTGGAGGTAGCTGCATGTCTAATTTTCCCATACAGACACTACACCGAGGTAAACGGTATTTTAAAACCCGGCATCATTCCGCCATTTTGAAATCTTGCTGGTAAATGCAGCTGCTGCTAATTTGGTCATAAGGATTTCAGCGTACCTCAGTATGACATATTGCCATAGCACCACCCAAGCCTACACTAATTACTTTAAAACTTGATGAAAGTTTACCTGCTTGTATTTGTGTTTGTTGCAGTACATCGTCCTCCTCCTGGTCTGCTGGAATATCACTGCCGTACGCATGCGACCATCCGCATCCACAGCCAAATGTAGTAAGAACACAAGCTGCCGCGTGCGAGATCGTCCACGGCCTGAAAGCACACAAAAGCGCATATGAGTGAAGTATGAACTGCTTTTAAGGCAGAAATCACTACGGTTACACCCACTGAGTGGCAGCATTACGTTCAGCTTGGATGGCGCGAAAACACGTCCAAAATGGGAAAGGAGCCCTAAGGTGATGAATCGATTTAACAAGAAATCGGAGCTATCTTTTTAAAGACAGTGAAAAACTACAGAAAAGAGAAGCAAATGGCAATCTGCAGGAACAACTGGAATCCAGACCCCGAAACGTGGACTTATAGATGTCTATTTATATCAGTTATGTGGGATTTTTGGGTATAAAAGTTACACACTGTATTGACTACTCATCAATGAAACATTCAGCATCATTCATTCATATCCTGAGTAACTGTAACACTTTCGTCAGCATTTACAGGATTAAAAACATCCATGATGGAGAGCCTTGTGTTCTGCAAACAAAGAGGGGGGGGGGTAAGATAATGTTAGCTATTTGAGACAATCCCTTTCCTTATAAGGGGCTGCTCCATGAAGCAAGCGCAGACTGCAAAAGAACTGTAAAAGTTTCTACAAAATCTGTTTTCAGGAAACTCGACTTCTATGGTCCCTGTTACATGTAAATCTCGCTGCCTCTCACTGCATTTAAGCAGATAATTGTTTGTTTCACAGATTCCCCGACTACAATCAGCCACGTTGCAGCATGTTCTGCCGTTCAGTCCACCTGAGGGGGCGGATTCCGACGGGAAAGTGCAATGTCAATGCATACCTTCTATATACAGTACCTTGATGGGGGGCTTATGACGTAAAGGGGGGTAAACAGTAGTCTTCATTTGTATTTGAGATGCCTTTCAACACATAGTGTATGTCTACATTGTATTGCATGAATCATTTTGCCATTCAATAAATTGTCATTTTCCTGAAACTATGTTGGTGAGAGAAAGACTTTGCAAATGGATTCCTTACAGAAGTAATGGAAAAATCAAACAGACAGCATACAGTTATCTCAGTCACCTCGGGTTCAGAATCTCAATTTTATCTATCAAATCTGCTATCAAAGTTGTTCATATTCAGGGAATGATAATATAAGGAGGTATGCCGTAAAGCTAGTATTTTACAATTATTAATTATTAAGCAAAGCAGCTTACAATAGCATCAATTTATATAGCTGGAGAAGTGGCTGCCACCAGACCTTCCCTGGTACTGACGATGACCTCCGTCCAGCGACAGGAACGTGTTCTCAACCTACACACTGTGTTCTGTGTTCTGGCCTTTCAACTGGCCTTTCAACCTACACACTGTGTTCTGGCTTCTCAGCCACTCTGCTAAGATAATCCACTCGGCCTGACGGCTGACGTTCTGCGGCGCGGGTAGGTTTCGCGAAGGGTCAATCGCATGCGAGCAGGTGCTCTGCGCTCGCTCGTGGAGGGATCCACGTCGCCGTCCCATTCCGCCAGCCAATATGAATCCCCGTGACCTGGGTACGTGTCCGTGCTTCCCGCCGGTCTCGGGCCCGCGATCGCCTCAAGGTCGTCTGTCCTGACGGCTCCTCGCGGCTCTCTTCGGCTTAGCGGCGGCTGCCACGGTAAATATTAATTTGCCAGCTCGCTGGGAACTCATGTGGCTCTCAGGCCACGGGATAACAGAGGCTCGGGGCGTCGTGAATCTGCCAGAGACGGCTCTGCTAACTCGGAGAGCAGGATGAGTCACCGGGAACGGAGCGGCAGATGTGTTGGGCGTGTGGCATGCAGGCATGTCATCTTGAAGCTTCAGAGATGAATGCACTAAAACAAAACAAAAATAAAATAAAAACTGAGTGACAATAGACACTTAATACCTCAATACCACTTCGGCCACCAATGACTGAAATGTTACCAGAACAATGGATAAGCAGCGTTAATTTGCTCTCGGGCTTCGTTTAATTATTTCGACCAGCTGTCAGCACCCTACGTGTCATCCAGGAGGACACCGTTGCGAAGCCTGGGAGCGTAAGCTCCGTGCTGGGAATACGCGGCTCTCCGAGACAGCCTGTATCTCCGACCAAGCTCGGGCTGACCAGATGGGAGTGGTCTGCTCCAGAAAGAGGACAGCTGCAGAACTATAATACCGGAATCTGCTGTACTTAATGCCAGCGGCACCCTGGGAAAACCCACTTCTGACCCCATAAAATGTGGGTGTAGGGTGAAGGAGGTGACGAGAAATCAGTCGTTGAAGTGGGAGATGAGACTTACGGTCGTCATACTAATTCACTGGAACCTTATGGTACAAGTTAACCATGCAAAGTAAATTAACGAGTGCATATAAACTAGGCTGCTTACTCCATACGTGTCCCCTACATGCATTATGCATTTACATTTTGTTTACTTAGCAGGCACTGTTATCCAAAGGAATGCACATTTTACTTTGAGAAAGCAGGGTCAGACAATCCCTGGAGTAATTGGGGGGTTAAGTAGCTCAGGGGTCCAGTGGTGACATCACTCTACCAAGTCTGGGATTTGAACCGGCAACCTTCCAATCACAGGCACACCGCCCCCACCAGTGAAGTGAAATTAACTTCAGAAACATATTCGGCTATATTAATGGTCTGTTTTTGAACTGTTGATGCTCAAAGGAAATAAAGCTTCCTTTACTCATATGTGTTTCATTCTGCATGAAAATTTGCATGCACCAGAATTTCCCCCGGGGATCAATAAAGTCCATCTTAATCTTAATCATATCCATCACGATGGTGAGCAAGGGTTGCAAACAAAACAGTGCGCACACACGACACACCTGGACACCATTACTCTGATCAGTTCAGGTCCCCCATGAGAAGTTTCACAGTTTGCAGCCCAACTCTGCAGCACACGTCCATTTCAGAATACGGATGGACTTGGAACCTCGACGCTGGATCTTGCCCCGGGAGAGGGAGCTTAAATGTTGTGGAACAGACTGTGAGGCTGCAGATCGTGGGAGGTGGTCTGCTTGCAATACAATTGATCCTTGGTGGGAAAGCGGATGGGGGAAAGCAAGCTTTTGCTAGAGAGCTGTCAACAGTGGAGGCCCTGGCTGATACCTGCTTAAACGAAGATCTGCTCTCCATCGAACCATGGCCTGAAAAACAGGGATTCTAAACGCTGCATAAATTCCAGAGAATTCCACATGTTCCATCAGACCCACCTCCTCTCCCCCCTTGCCCAATGGAAGGCCTAGAGGCATTCCTGATAAATAATAATAATAATTCAGACTGTGCCCAAAGGAAATGAGCAGTGCACTTTAAGCTGATTTTAAAGGAGTCTCTGGGCTTGTCACGCTCTCCCCGGTTTCTGTATCCTTGTATTGGGGGGGTGGGAGGACACTCACAGTAAAGTCACAAAAGCTGGCAGAATGTGGGGGCGATGGGGTCTTCGCGCAGTATCAGAGCCACACGGCAACGTTTGTGGCTTTTTTCAGCACTATGTTGTTATATCTGAGAGGGATGTCTACACCCCATGTCACCCAGGAGAAAAAGCAACTAAATAATGATGGTGCCATTTTTATCGTTAACCCTTAGCTTCGTATTGAAAGGGATTCGGCTAGATTACCGAACTATAGTGGCAAACAGGTAGGAAGGGATAGGGTTGTAATATTTACAAGAAAATTACACACAGGGCTAGTCTAACCTTGATAAATAAAAAATAAAATAAAAAAATTAATGCTAGCATGCATATACATACATCATAATCATTATTTAAATCGTCTTCGTTGTCGACTGTGGATAATGCTATCAAAAACCTAATATACATCATCTAAATCCTCTGTAAAGCTGCTTAGAAGGTTGAAAATGTCTCATTTTTGAGGGCAATCCAGTGTTAAACAGGCACGTGGCATGATGTTATACTTTCCTCTGGACCTCCATGGAAGACCAGGCTGGAAACGTCTGGATGCACACGCTGACATCGAGAGTTACACAAAACCCTCAGTTCCTCTCCTCCTTTCCTCTGACTCTGCTCCATCCAAAGATTAATCAGTGCTTAGCTTGGGGTTTAAAAGGGGGGAGGGGGCGGGTTCTGCAGGTCAGTGGTCTGCCAGAAGACACTGAAGTCATTAGTGAGAGTGGTGATTGCCCAGACCAACCATGAAGCGGGCAACTTAAGGTAGGCATGAGTCAAATGAGACCAGGCTAATTGGCTAATTCCACCCAAGTGTGAGCAGACTCCAACTTCAGAATAAAAAAATAAAAAAAACAGGAAGAGCATGAAAAATACATCAGTCCTCCTCCATGTTGATCTCCCTTTGAACTCCCCGCAGCACTCTGACCGAGACTCGAGCTTAATGCCTGCAAATTTATTGAGTTTGTAGCGCAAGCGAAAGCTGTCCACGGCATGACCACTGCACTGTCAAGGACGCGGAAGGCCGAGAAGCATCTGTACCAGATGTGAAGACACGCCGAGACCTGACACGATCGAAGATTCTCAACGGCCTTTGAGCTGTTCACATCTGCTAGGGCTCTCTGACAATTACCAGGCTTTTACTTTAATTGTATCGCTGATGTTGGTGTCCTAATGGGGTTTTCTGTGATCTCCTTCGTGCTTCCAAATTTATGCAGAGTTGGCAGGTAGAGCAGATTCAAGTAGAAAACTTGCGTCAATGCTGCACACACGTCCGACATTTATACACAGATTCGAGTCGTTGTCATTTTTTGTACCGTAAAGTTGACATTCCCAGAAAGCATGGTGCCGCTAAGCCGAATGCTGAATGGAGCACAGAAATAGGCACATTAAACAGCCCGACTGAAATCAGGACTTGGGAACTACTGCGAATGATTTGGGCTGCACCTAGCTGGGGGATTGACCAAGCAGTTCACTGCACCCCAGAACTGTCTTGATTGCCGTTTTCGGCGCTAAAGGAAAAAGAAAAAGAAGAAAACACAGGGCCATGAATCCCACCCTAGTGAACAAATTAGCAGGCAGCCTTCTCCAATCACATCCAACTGAATCAAGTTTCCCCCCCATCTTAAGCCACATTATCCTTAGAAAAGTTTGTGCCTGCGAAAAATATAAATTTTGAAAACATATCACTGTGGAGCCCCAGGGTTGGATTCCTGTTGGCCGCTGGCAGTAGTGCTCGTGCAGAGTAGTTTAAACCTCTGCCCGTTCCATTAGGTTTTCCATTGCAGCGAAGACGTTTCCATTTTGGATAAAGAAATGCAGTCTGGGGGGAAGAGTGCAGCAGCTATAGGAGACGCCGGTTATTACACTGCCAAGCGCGTTTAAGCGTTAGCATCACTTCGCAGGGAAAAGTGAGGCAGAAATGACGGTCTGGTTGGCTAAATGAAGGTCTGGTTGGCTAAGCACTCGCAGGCACCTGACAGACTACGTCATTGTCATTTCTGAAGGATATCACAGTGTCAAATATCATCATTTACAGGCACCACTGAGTGACGGGCTGGAAAATTCCTCTCCATTTCATCTCAGAAGGGTATTTAAACACATTAAGCAGCCTATATTCAGTCTAAACAGTATTTGACAGGTAATTATATTAGACAATAACGGAAAAGAAAAAGGTTGACAGAAAGCACAGTGTTTTTAAACCCACTGTATAATAGATTTTCCCTTATAGTCGATTCATTCGCTATATCATTAAATGTGCCGGTTAAAAATATGCTTTGTGTTTAATTGGCATCTTTCTTTAATTAATCTCATGCGGCTTGGAATCTGTCAAACACAAGCCACGCAATGAAAGTAAAGGCTCGGGGGAAGAGAAAAAACACAATGAACGTTTTATTTGCGACTGACAGATATCGCCACGTTCTACAGATTAATTTGTAAGTTAGGCTGAGGCGCTAATTTCTTGTGCACGCCCATCATGTCCTCCGGTTGACATCGGGCACCTCGTTGTTTTCATCTCACAAGTACCGTAAACAAAGCCTCTCCATAACATTTTTGATATTGACCCAAGAACGGAGCATGAGGAAAACCAAGTGTTCTAAAAATACGCACCGGTTCATTGTAAGTGTTCTGGATAATAGGCAGAGGTAAAACTGCGCTTAGTATTGACTCACAGAAGGCTGTTTCCCCTCGCCGTTCCCTCTATGAACAAATTAGGTCATTTGACAGCAAACCTCGTGAGGATACAGTACAAAGATGGAGGCAATACTCGGGAAGAGAAGGCGCGGTGGGTTTTTGGACGACTAAGCAGTTATAACCGAAATGTCAACCCTCCTCTACCCCCCAGCCTGCCCCCTACCTGGGGATCACCGACCCCTCTCCGCAGAGAGGAAAATTGCCCTCAGTTTCAATCCCATCTCGCCTCTAATCACCACGTTCGGTGGGACAAACCGGCGTGACGCGCCGCTAATTTGGGCAATTACGGCGCGAGGGCCACGCGTGCGCACGCACGCCTATTCCATACTGCTCGCGGAAACCTCCAGCGCGCGTGCACGCGCGTATTCCATGGAGCTACATCCGACTTACCGATTTTTTTTAAAGCCCTACAAAACCTCCCCACCAGGAGGTCTGCTCACCCACGTGGTGGGTGGACAGGGGCGTCCTGAGGGGGGGGGGGGCTGTTTACACGTGCCGGTCGTTTCCCCCGAACCTCTCCTTCACGTTTGCCGTGTCCTTGAATTGACGGACTACCGCTGTCACGGACTGCCATTAGATATAAAGCCCACACCCCAAAAAAGTGACAAATTCTCCCACGGCTTTGCTATGCAGTCATTATTATAAAATGTCACATAACACACAAAGATCCTACGATATGTAGATAAACACTGGCAGTGCCCGTCACACAAGCTGTCATAAAATTTTCCATATAATTATATTAAAACCAGCTTTTAAACCCAATGCATTCATCTCAATTCCACTGCAATGAAAGAATCTCTCTCTTTTAATGCATTGTGTTTATTTAAACACTATATCATCATGCAGACGAATTCCCCTCCGTTGAGGCATTGAAAAAATGGGATCCTTTGCTGGCTGAGCGCTTTAAAGGACGGGACCCTAGCCCGGCATCAGGACAGAACAAGAGTCTTGCACATAGCAGAACCCGGACGGGAACGTCCAACCAGGCAGTTGTGTCTATTTGTGCACAGCACTCTGCTGCCCCCTAAAGTCATAAACCGAAGTCACATACCGAGAGCTTGACTCCATGAAATTGCGTTGGAACTTAACAGGGTGCGCACTTACATTGGCGCGCACCGCTGTCTAGATCACCTTCCCAAACTGGAAACCAGCCACTGACAAATACCGATCATTTTTATAGTATAATCAAAGTAAATGTTTTCATCTGTTTGCCACAGGCGCTGTGGCTGAAATCTCACGGGCAACCCAGGCCCCTAATCGCACCACCTCTCACGGGTCCCCACACTTTCCACTGGATAGGATCATCTTCCTAAAAATAGAAATTCTTTTGTGGACAGAAAGGTTGCCAGGCAGACTGCTTTTTGGAGCGGTCAGGCTAAAACAAAAACTATTGCTTGGGGAGAAAATGGAAAACCAATTTGGAAGCCGAACTAGGAATTCAGGCCCCCACTGGGGGCACACACATTAACCAAGGTCAGTGCAAACAGAACACATGCATGTGCAAGCCCACTGTATAATCCACTTATCATGCATCTTATTTTTGTTCCATAGAGCTGTGCACTTTGGAAGCATTTCATTACTTCACCAGCAGGTGGCACAGTGGTTAAGGTGAAATCTGCAAAACTACATCTGGGTGTGAAGTACTGAGCCTGAGTGACAAGAGATATTCTAAACATACAGACAAATAAAATGGGTCATGCTGAGTGGCTAGCTTTTGAGCAATTTAATTTTTTAATGACTGTTTCTTGGTTAACTCCATTCCACTATGCCTATCGGACAAGTGGATAGCTCGCCTACTGGCATTGTGCTGGGGACAGGGGACCACCGGAAACATCACCACCCCCAGCCCTGCCACCTCCCTAATACCCCACCCCACTCCCTCACACACAGACACCAAAGACAGCGTTACCTAGTGAAAGTTGATTCTTTCTTGGCCTCCCTCCATCCAACAAGGTGCAGAGCAGAAGCGAACTATCCTGAGGGCACTGATGGCCACCCAGAGTCAAGCTCAACATGGGTTAGTGTTGCCATGGCAGCAACGCGAGGATAGCAACCGCTCCCTGTCAAATCGGCTGCCCTTGCCGGTGACCCGGGGTGAACCCAGGTGGAACCAAAGAACCAATGAGAACAAGCAGCATCCTCAGGGCAGGTGCCACCCAACCCAGGCAGCAAAGTGAACGACTTTCTGCAATCACAGCGGCTGGGGTCTATCCAAGCACGCTGAACAGCAATCTCCCGATAATCCAGCCTGTGCTATGACCCAGAAGAAAATAAGCTCATAATGCCACTGCAGCTGAGATATCGGGAACAGAAATCATTGGCACACTAGAGAAGCTTCATGAGATATGAACCACAAGTCCATTCAGCAACTCGCTGGTTTTGCATGTAAATTCAAGGAGGGCTTGTCGAAACCCAGAGAATAAGTGATTTTGATGTATGTTCCCCTCCCTGTAGGATGTGAAGTCGAACAAACCTAGACTAAGATTCCTAACAAAAGGACTGAACCAGACTATTGTAGCAGGGTGGTGACCTCACAGTCAACACCATATCCAACTTGTGGCTTCAAATCACACACACCCGTACCCAACCAACAACAAAATAAAAATAAAAAAATAAAAACAAGGGCAAATCCAGTCCGCAGTGATCTGTTGGAGTTCATTGTTCTCATATTCCCAAGCAATCAATCTAGTGGCTATGAGTCACCACCAAAATAACAAAAATCCACAATCAAGCACTCTTAAGAAAGGCATTCATAGCAACAGGTAGCATAAAGAACCCAGTTGGTGCATAAGGGTGCCTCTATATGGACAATGGTGACCAATCAGGCTTCAGAGTGTTAACCACGTGATGAAAACGCACCAATCAGAAAGCCAGTCTTTTGGCAGGCGTCTGTTCAGACTTGAGCTCATCAGAGTTAGGGAGTTTATTATCCCATCTTAACCAGGCTCATGTTGACCAGACTTGCGGCTTATGGTGCTTAAATCAACATTTAAAGACCATGGGACACACTAACTAATTTTATCAACTAGGATTGTGCTGTAATCAGGGGGTAACAGCAAAGTCTGTTGGCTTTCCTTAAAGTTATGCCATTAACTGATGAATTAAGCTTGTTATTCAGATGTTCTTAAAGCAGTGGTCTCACATTTAAAGGACAGGACTTGTTACTTAGTGTAAATGCATGTAAACTCAGACTTTTTACATGCCATTTAAATTAGTTATATTTGTTAAATATCGATGTCCACATAAATAAATAAATGCAAAATGATTTTTTAAATATATTCCTGCATATTATATTTTACTGATCCCTGTGGGGAATTCCTCCGTCTGCCTCCCCCATCTTGCTCTCTGTAGGAGACCCATAGCAGCACCCAGGGAGCTGGGGGGGGGGGGGTTTAAGGGCCTCATTCAAGGACCCACAGACATGCTGAGGTCATACTTGAACTGGTGATCTTTCGATTGCAGGCATAGAAGCTTAGCCCACTGATTCCCAGGCTGCCCCCAATTGCTGTTGTATCATGCAAAATGCAATAAGGTAATTACTGTACTAGATCATGCAATCGACCATTGCATCCTGTTCTGTTTTGATCATCTTGCATCGTAACCGGTTGACTAACTGGTTAAATATTGCAATGCAAAGGCAGACTGAGCCGGTATCTGGAAAAGGTGTGTAAACCGAGTCGACCAGATGGCCACGTTGGGGGCCAATGGCGTGAGTCAAATACAGGAGATTACCTTACATAAATGCTGACCGGGCATGCCCAGCACTGTGACACCCTCAGCTGTGAGCAGACTTCAGCTGTGGTGTTTCAGTTTCTTTCCGTGATGCTGCGGGAAGCCTGAGCGCTGCATCCGTCATGGCTGTGAAATGAAAGGCATCGCTATCTTTAAAGGAGATACAATTTACTGCTGACCACTGACTTATTTTCCTCCTTTAAGTTCCCCTCTGTCCCCGTCTCTCTCCACCTTATCTAATAAAGACCAACAGCCAAAAAGCTCAGTTCCACAAGAGATGCTCCTTAAGTTGTGTCTGCGGTCGGACAAAAAATGTTATCAGTCCCAAGTGCTCGTTAGAGACAGCAAAAAGTTATTTTTTATGTTTCTAAACAGGGTTTAGTAATTTCAGTGGATTGGTGGTGAAATTATTTTCATTTGGCTTTGCCTGTATGAAAAGCATAATTATTTATAATTTATACAGAGCCAAATTAGTTTGTGAACCAAACTCAGTAATGAGGCTAATGTTCATTAATAAGCCTAGTTCTGTAGTTGGGTCCACCTGAAATTTGCTTCTGTACATTCAGCTGTTTTTACTCATAGCGAGCTTGCGATCCATGTTTTAAATTTGGATGACCTAAGACGTGATACTTGGCAAGTCAATAAGCATTCCGCCCCCATGAAAGCGCCCTATTACCCCGTCATCTCATTTGTTATTCATTTTTAAATCAGCAGGAGTCTTTCGTCCATCATTCCACAGTCAACTCAGATCTGCGCTCAGATTTAGGCAGCGAAACGGTCCGGCTGTGAAATATTCGGCGGAAGCTACTAGATGATTCTGGAAAGGTCAGCCAGGTACGTGTTCAGTCCATGCTTTTACATATCAAACGGGGAGCCATGGACCATTCCGGAACAGTAACTGTCAGATGCGGAGATGAGAGGCAGGCCGCGGCGGTTTGAGGACGCCGCCGCGCGGCACGCTTTCCCTCGTGTGACGACACGTGTTGTGTTCAGCTCATGCCCAGCAGACCCCGACTCGCTCTTAGTCAGACCTCCGCTCAGCGTGCCGCTACGGGTCCCTTTGTCAACCGCCCCTCTGTCTCGGAGGAGCCAAGGTCGCTGGGAGACACCAGAACACAGAGTCACCTGCTGTTTGCATCACCTTCTCACTTAAAGGTGCAGAATCCATGCCGGATGTGGAGGGGGGGGGGGGGTGATTCCCTAGATGCCCCTGTTGTACTTTGCAGAGGACTTCAACACCCCCGGACATGGTTTGGTGGCATTTCCTGTGTAACCTAGTTGTCCCCGAAGGACAAGACCTAAGGACAGTGACGTCCATATTCCTGGTGTTCTCCACAGGGTGCACTAATGCAACAAGAGCCAGCCAGCTGTATCGCTTACACTCACCTCTGGTAGCAGACCTCCCACGTCCATTAGTAGACGATGACATCGCTCTGTAGGTGCTGCCATGCTGGGATGGCCTGGGGCGTCACACTCCCCTCTGTGCCTCTGCCGTCTCCTCCGTTGTCTGTTTCTTGATTGTGATTTAAGCGCCAAATAACATTAGTCGGTGCCCTCCATGAACTTCAATCATTGTTAAGGACTTTTCGGCAACTGTGCTAGGATGCGCACCATACAGAGATAAAATGAATTCAGTATACGAAAGGATTATAGATGCACATGGTGCTGAAGGGGGGTTGGCATGATGGTGGTGTGTTGTTGGCACTGTTGCCTCACATGTCTGGGATCAGGGTTCGAGTCTCCACCCTGATTCCATGTGTGTGGAGTTTGCATGTTCTCCCCATATCATCATGGTCCTTCCTTCTATCCACCCACCCCCCCCCCATGCTGTGGTTATTTGGGGTTACCAGATTGCCCATAGATGTGCATCTTCAGTGAATGGGTTGTTCCTATTTTGTAGGTCAGTTCAGTTTAAAATGTATATTAGTATCAAGTTTCAGATTCTTTTATTAATATTTTAACAAAGTGTAGCTTTAGAAACGCCCAAGCTCTAGTTAAGCACCTAACAGAAGACGCACCTTACAAGGGAGATGACACCTTGCATCACAGTTTTGCCAGCTGGGTCATTTTGGAGACAGTGATTGGGGTTTAATCTGTCACATGACCCATGATGTCATGGAGCTTGTGGTGTCCCACATGGGTTGGATTAATAACCAAGGCGTGTAAGCGGGAGCTGAAACACGGAGAATGTGGAACATGCAAATGGATACAGCGTTGATAAAATGTATGAAGTAGAATTACAGAAGGTTCTTAAATACTTGACAGTAATCTAGATTTTATTATGGAATGTCAACGAAGTACAGTCAGTGAATGAGGGTTAGGGCAATATTCTCTGTCTCCTACACAGAAGCAAGATCTTGGTTTATATTTTTAAACCTAGATAAGGCTTGGTGCTTTTTGTTAATAATATGACTTGTGTTTATTAGAAATGCACATTCGATTCACAAGAGCTAACCCTGTACCCCTGTATGAATTGTATTGCTATTGTGATGAAAAGTCTATATACTACAAACAGCAATTGTGCTTTGGCATTGAGTCTTCCAAGCTGTAAAATTAATCCTGTGAATCATCACAAAGATTTTAGCGACCGAGCTTCAAAGCTGCCTGAAAGGGATTGTTGAAGGTTGTGCGCATTTTTCCATTCTGTCGTCACCTGTCAAACTGATGAAATATTTATGTTTGTTAGTCATACATGTTCAGAACCGTTACAAACACAAGGGTCAGGTCACTATGCTACCAGCGGATTTCAGCCATTGAGAGTTTACTGTTTCCAGCTTCATTACAACAATAATTCCTAATGTTTTTTTTTAATGTTGACTACAAAGTTGGTCAACACAGAGTCAAAAGAGTAGGTGAAGGTACTCTGATGTGGACTCTATAGTTCCAGGTGCATGAATAGCTGGAGTGAATTCACTAGCTGCAGATGCAGCAGGTGCTGTAATTTTTTAGTGTCATGAATCGTTACTCTTTGTCTTGACTTGTGCATTCCGCACAATACAATCAGTCTCCATTGTGCACACGATAAACTAGGTGATTTCTTAAAAGGGTTGAGAACAAGCCATTTACAGTGATGAGACCACCAGACAGTGAGTATTCGTGGGTGGATGGGATTATGATGCTTGCTGGATGGGGAGACGTTTCGGTGGTTTACGACCTGATCTGCCAATCAGAAGGCCGGAAATGAGAGGAGGCTTCAGCTCAATAAGCCAAGACAGATGAAGATGGCCATATTTCCTTCATTGTTTTCAAGCAGAATCAACCTAACCTTTTATGTCACCGCTTATTATATAGAGGCTACTATTGAGAATCATGTCAAAAAGACTATGAACATTGAGCTGCCTCCCCCACAGTGACGTGGAAAACCCAACCATGTGCAACATAGGAAAGTTCACATCCAGAGGGGCGTGGCTAATCACATGACTGAAAATGGCCAATCGTGTTTCTGAAATACATAGGAGCTGCATCTTGTCAAAAAATTCCTGTATTGCAGTGAGGCTTTTTATAAAAGGCTCATTAAAAAAATAAATTAAAAAAATCAACTCTGTCAAAATAAGGAATCCACATTAAACAAGTACATTTCTGCTAAATGATCACTGGCACATTCTGCTTGGCTCGTGACTAATTAACTTCGCTGTGGAAAGAGGTACGTAAAAGTAACCGAATGTAAAATGCACATCCTGGAATAAGAGTTTTTGCTCCTCGCTTGCTAGTAGGTGATGCAGTGACCGTGGCAACAAGGAGAATGTTTTTTTTCTAGAAGTTGGACTGAATCCAGCCACTGAGCTTAAAGCTGACAGCACCCAGAAGTGTGTTACACAATTTGGCAAGAAGGAAAAATCGCTGGAAGCAAAAAGAAAAAATAAATAAATAAATGAATAAAATAAAGCAAGCATACCTAATACCACCCACTATTTCTCACTGTGATTTAAAGAGATGCTAAATTGTATATGCAGTGGTGTTATGCAACAACCCAAGCTTAGAAAACATTTTTATAATGATAAAATATGACTTAAGACGGTAAGAATTCGGGAGAAATTTCAGATCCCTGAATTTTTCAGCAGATGAAAGAAGGTGTTGAAATACGTTCAGCGTTATATGATCCGTCAACCGGCGTTATTTACGTAAAGGTGAAGCACATACCGGTGGGTACCAGTAGTTGGCGCCAGAAGCAAATTTTGTTTTGTTGTTGATACTGTTCCATTGCTACCATACGGCCGTATTTTAGTTGCACTTCTGTAATGGCCTTCGCTTTCCTCCAATCTGTATGCACTAGATGGGATCCAGGTAGCATTTGTCAAGTGCGTCAGATGTCAAGTCTTCTGAGTTGTGTTTCACTTAGGTGACTTTGGTGTGTGTGTGTGTGTGTGTGTGTGTGTGTGTGTGTGTGTGTGTACCCAAGCTGAACAGCAGCCTACGCACCATCATATTTTACATAAGTTCATTTCGGAAATTCACTATACAAAGAAAGTCCGACAGAGTGCATAAACTCAGGCGTCAATGTCATCTGTCTACAGTCTGCCATCGCCTGTAAATCAACGCTTCATATTTATTAAAAGATGTCTTTCCTTATCTTTATAGCGGCGATAAGGAACGTATGAAAGTAATGTAAATTATTAAAAACTCTGGCATTTACTTTGAATCTTTTATAACTTGCCGAATACGATTAAATTATACTGCGAAATTATATTTGTTTTACTCCAGTTTTTTCCTCATTAACTGTTCATATTTAACTTGATTGATTTACTCTGCTATTCAGTCCATTAACATACTTCTGCTTTGCCCATGAAAGAGTCGCACGATCACACGAGCAGGTGGCGATACCAGCACTGAACTGTCTTCAGCGCACGGCAGATTTAACTCTCCCTTAACCCCCCCCGGCCATCGATATGTCTTCTGAAACACTAAAGCAGCGTCTTAAACAAGATTATCCAGACCAACCTAACCACCACCTCCAGCTGAACGAAATAATGCCAATTGCATTTGGCCATTGTGGGGCAGCTATAGAGCTGATGCATGGTCCAGACGGTAATGGCCAGTCCATCCTTTGGAGTATGACAGAATTAAATGCCTATTGCTGCTTTCATGTACCGTTATGAAAGGCTCTGCTGGCGTGGTTTTCATTATTGTGTATTTATTTTTATTTATTGCGCTGCACTGCAAAGGTCCCTGTAACCGGAGTCTCCTGTAGTATTCTGAGAAAGACATTCCCGAAGACAAGCCCTGTCATCGTCTGCAATACGTGACGCCCTTTACAATATCCTGACTTTTCCATAATTTACCCTGGCCACAATGTTACCAACTTCAATAAATAATTAAAACCTCTAAAATCATTCGGTAGTCATTTTCTCTTTTTTTGTCCTATTCTTTTGCACTCCTTCCTTTTTTGCTTCCGTGGGTATAACCAAAGTAAAACTTCAGAGCCAAAATAAAGGCAAGATTAGATTACTGTACGCAGCATATCACGGGGATCTCGCGTGGTTCCTCACGAACCTGATATGAATGATAGTTAAGGGGCCGCTGCAGCGTTCAGGCTGCTTGTTTGCCTCTCCTCCTTCCTCCAGGTCAGATGCGATCATCAGGTGCAGCGAGATCCTAAAGGGCGGGACAAACCGGCCGTGGATGGTTTAGTGCAGAAGTTGCCCGGTTTCTAATAACCCTATATTAAGGCTCCCGGTGACGATGACTGAGAAATACAGTGCATGGCATCTCCCGCCGACGGACAGCCGGCAGACTCCCCGTTATCTAACCTCTTTAGGTGTCCGTGGTGCGAAATCTGCCAGTAAGTACAAGCTTAAGAATCGCATTTTGTTGTCAAATTAAGTTTGTGCGCGTGGTTCTTTTTAAAACCTCACGGCTGCCTTTGACGCGAAATGAGAGTTTAACAGTATTGATGGGGATTTCCTAAACGCTAGTATTCGGTGGTGAGTTACTGGTTTGCAGTTTACAGTCATCATAATGCTGTTTAAATTCTTGTTTAAAGTTTCTTCGTAAATAATGCGAAGGAGCTTCCAGATATCTGATTTGCGAAATGCACCTAGATGCGTTTAGCTGTATAATATATCGGTGTAGCCTATTTGAAACTTGAGGGTATTTCTCACTAAGATGTATTTAGGGTCGAGAAGCCAAAATAATGAAAAGGGGGAACATGATGATTCTATGCATAAGAGAATTTATAGTCATACAGTTTACAAAGTTCATTAATAAAGACATGAGGTTTTTTTGACCACCACAACAACAACAACAAAAACAACAAAAATCTCTTTTTCCCCCAGGAGGTGTGGACCCTCCAGTAAATTTGAAGGCATTATGGTAGCCTTTAAGGGGATTTGGACCAAGGAATTCTGGAGAGCCGTCTCTGGGGAGTTCTTGGCTACTCTCATCTTTGTCCTTCTTGGCCTGGGCTCTACGATCAACTGGAGCCTGGGGGCGGAGAAGCCGCCGCCCCCAGATCTGGTGCTCATATCACTCTGCTTCGGCCTGACCATCGCTACCTTGGCCCAGTGCTTTGGCCACATCAGCGGCGGCCACATCAACCCGGCCGTGACCGCAGCGATGGTCTGCACCAGGAAGCTGAGCCTGGCCAAGGGTGTCTTCTACGTGCTCAGCCAGTGTCTGGGTGCCATCACTGGAGCGGGGATCCTGTACATGGTGACGCCCAGCTCTGTCCGAGGGGGCATGGGAGTGACGTCGGTATGTCGCCCCCTCATCTTTAGGAGTGAAAATAAACTGCGGAGAACATAAGGCATGGGTCCTGACCAAGGCCTCCTCTGCTCCGCAGGTGAACCCCAAGATCTCTGTCGGCCACGCCCTTGTGGTGGAGATGCTGATCACCTTTGAGCTGGTCTTCACCGTGTTTGCGACCTGCGACCCGAAACGCTCCGACCTCAAGGGGTCTGCGGCTCTTGCCATTGGCCTGGCCGTCGCTATAGGCCATCTCTTTGCGGTATGTTCCAATCCACTGACTTTACATGTTACTTTTGTGACATAAATCAGTTTTTTAATCTTCTTGAAATGGAAAAAGACTTTTGCATAGGAATAATAATACAATTCAGAAGGAATAATCTGCAAGGATTCTAATATATGATAGTAGATATATATTTCTTTTAAAGCCCATTGTAAGGGTACCTCATTGACCTGTGGTTTCCATGGACGACAGCATGGTGAAGCAACCATGGCAACCATCCTTATGGGAGGTCACGTGTTCCCCCAGCGAGTTGGTACCTGATTAGTGTAACCCAAGACTCAACAACAGACTCCATTTTAAGTTTAGATAACAATTTATCTTGAAACAGTTACGATTATCTGCTTCCCAACACTTCAGAATTTAAAAGCACTGTAAACCCATATAATTGCTCCTGATTGTGTGTTAAAACTTGAGGGATAGTTTAAAAATCAGCACTGGATTATTTTTAACCCTTTCAGGTCTGGTGTGAGCGAACAGTCTAACCTAGATACGTCCTATTTTCCACCCTCATGAGAGGACTGAGCAGGGTCTGTATTTGGATAGGAAAGTGGACAGAAAACGATAAAACAAAAGTCAGACATTATAAATAACCCAGGAAATATTTGCCGTGTTAATGCTAATGCTAACTACCTGCTATCCTGTGATGCTCTGCAATTTGCTGCTCTGTCCGGCAAGGTACCAGAAAGAGCTCAGTGACTATGATACCAATGTCACTTGTCACTTGCTCTCTTGTGTTACAGATCCCCTATACTGGAGCCAGTATGAACCCAGCCCGGTCCTTTGGACCAGCAGTGGTGATGTGCAGCTGGGCTGACCACTGGGTAAGGAAAGGAAAAAGGGTTCTGAAACGCTCGGGGGAGGGGGGGGGAAGGTTTGAAAGGCAGTGACGCTGGGAAGAAATGCATGCTGGATTGTTTGGAAATTCGCTCATCTAACGGGTCGAGTGTGTACTGCCGCAATCAAGGCTCTGAAGGTTACCATTCATGGTGGATCCCGAAGTCATGGGGTTGTTCCAGCCCAATAACCATGTATGGAAGGCCCATTAAGTCAACCCTCCTCTATCACCTTCTTTCAATGGGACCTTCTTTCGTTTTTTCCCCGGTTTTCTTTTCTCGCTTTATTTGGTTCCTTTCTGAGACATTATGGTAAATCACTGTAAAGTGCTGGCCCACAGCTTGCTTAGGAAGTGTGCTACATTAAATAAAATCTGATTGATTTCTCTGAAAGGGCAGCTTGTCTCTTCCGAACCTCCAGTCGTTTTAGCCCGTGGACCAGCTTCCTGATAGAACACCTCGCATGGGAAACATGGGACCAGTGTTGATCTCTTAATTCAGTATGAATTTTTAGATTAAATTTTCATTTCAACATTCTGTTTAGTTTTAGTTAGTTTTCAGTGTGGTTTTATTAGTTTTTGTTTAAAAAATGTATTTCTATTTAGTTTTATAATATTTTAGTTTCAGTTTACGTTTTGGTAATTTTCTTTCTAAGGATACACGGAACATTGTGGAAGTATTTTAAGTGTCTGAGTTTTGGAGAACCACACAAATGCACAAGGGCACATTAGGTACTAATGTCCTCAGAATGGGCAAAACATGTGCCATGTATCATTAATGGTCATCTAAAAGGCAATGTACTGGATTATGTTCCCTCAAATGATTTCCATCAAGGAAGAAAGATAAACAAATCATTACTTTAGCTAAATAGTGCTAAAAACGATAATGGAAATTATTTGATGTTTGTTTTTATATTTTATTTCAGTTAGTTTCAGAAGCAATATTTATGGTTTTCGTTTAGTTGTAATTTTAAAATTTTATTTTAGTGCCTTTTTTTAATCTAATTTTATGAAGATGTTCTGTTTTCGTTTTCGTTACCGATAATAACCCTGCATGGGAGACATAATATGTTTATCTGAAACTCTAACGGTGTCTTTGATCCAAATGAACGGTCCCCCAGCCCAATGTCAGACACATATTTGCTATGATTAATTTCCTAAATTAATAAGGCCATTCGGCTTCCCCATATTTCGCGTCACTTTCGACATCAGAACGCAATTACGTAAAATTTTGCGTGAATCAGCATGACCAGGATCACGAGGCGGCTTCCATCCCTTAGTCTGATTTCAATTAATGCTCCTGTAATTAAGTAGCCATTCATTAGGGGGCGCTAGCGGCATAGTGAGAGGAAGTAGACCTGGGTGTCTCCTGCTTTTACACCTGGGGCTCTTGTGTCCTTTCAAAAATGTTTAGTATAACTCTACTACTACCCCTGGTAGTAGTAGAGGAACCACCACTCAAACCACACATTTTCGTGGGGCTTTTGAGGTTCAGGGGGGGCCCTTATTGGACACAAACACACACGATACACTAGAGTGGGCTGGGGGGGGGGGCATGAAGTAACTTTTTGAGTGGGGCCTCTAAAACGACAAACCCTCCCCTGGGTCAAGGTATCAGACCAGGGTAGGATTCACCTCTCCTAACCTCGTGTGCTCTCTGTTTCTCAGATCTACTGGTTGGGTCCCATTCTTGGTGGGATCACAGCGGGTGCCATGTATGAATATCTGTACTGCCCTGACCCAGAGCTGAAGACCTGCTTCGGGGATGTTTTCGGCAAAAGCTCCGGCCCCCCCATGAGGTACAGAGAGGTGGAGGGCTGCCGCCGCCGGAGCGATCCAGAAGAGCCGGCCATCAGTCCGGGTTCTCACAGCACCCTGGACGTGGAGAAGGCAGAAAAGGCCGGGATATCACCGGCATGACTAGAGGGAATCCTGGGAATGGAGACCAGCCTGTAGTCAAGCATCCAGGCCTGCTCTCACAGAGGATTACTGTGCCTTCAGCCAGGGAAACACCCTGGTTTTTTCTTTGATGCAGGGCCTGGTCCGGTCTGGCCTGGCTCACCGTGAACTCTGTCTCAGAAACCAGACCTTCATATCAGTACATCCCCCCTTTCCGATGTGCAGCCAAAACTGATCACTGGTAGCGTCTGTGTTCAGATCAGCGTAGGGGTGATGCTAAGGTCACGCCGGAGTAACCAGAGTGACACTGCTGGCACGTGAATGGCAGGTGCTCTCTGGCGGTCTCCATTTTCAGGGCTGTCTCTTCAGCATATCATCTGTCTTTGCTCTGTCATATAACCCACTGTACCACTGAATCCCGTTGCACCGTTTCCTTAAATTATTTCTCAGCGGGTCTGCACTCAAATATGTGCTTGTAATTATTGCCGCCGTGCTGTAATTGCTGCTTGTAGGAATGCTCTCGCTCGCTTGAACTCCCCTCAGGAGAGGACTCCTTTCTGCTCATGCTCACCTTTCCTTCCAGCTCCCCCTACTGGACCGGAGGACCAAAACAAGCCCCTTGCGGTGCCCGTTAACATTTCGGGCTAACAAATGTCAGGTGCCCATGAGAGAAGCGTCAGCCTCCGACCTGTCAGCAGATCCCCATTCCAGAGCAGGGTATACACACAACACCTCTGGCCAAATGACATCCCCTGCGCCACGGACATGGGTAGCTGATAAAGAGAGTGGTTTAGCGTAGGCTTCTTGAGGAGCACAGAACCCTCTTTTTTATTGTCTGAAAAGCAAAGTGGTAGGTAAATATTTGACCTATTTCTGCTTTGTCATTTTATGATGGTGCATTTTCTGTATTGCCTGGCTTTCACAGTCATCCGCAACAATAAAAATAACAATTATAATAAACACAACTCTTGTTGAAATGGATTAAAAACCAGCTGAACATGACGAGACATATTTCCTTTCAGGGGGAATGTTTTTTTTTGTTCAGTCCACAATGCCAAATGGGAGGGGGGGGTATGCTTCTAGAAGGGGTTATTCATAGAGTACAGGGTCTTCAGCCTGAAGCGGCAAAGGTCTTTTTTCCGTTATTGGTTAATGGGTTGGGTTTGGAAAAGGCCAGATTTGGTGGAAGTGGTTCAGCCCACACAAGGTTCTTGAGCAGAGTCAGGACTAGACTGGGATTAAAAATCGGCTCTGGACTTTGGGGTCCCTCACAGGCCCACAATAAATTTCGCTGACTCACATACCCATCAGCCAACTGGGAAAATGCCTGGTATGCCAGATGGCCAGTCCAGCCCTGAGCGTAATGATAGATGGCCTTAGTGCCTAACAGTGATCTTATGGAATGGTTTCGTTTGTCCTTTTGTTTGTCCTTTCGTTTTAACACCGTAGCATGGGGTACACTACACAGCCATTCTGCCACTTATCTCTCTCTCTTCCCTGAAGTGGTGAGAGATCCACCCAAGAGCTCATTCTAACCTGAAAAACATACCCAGCCTGGCAGAAATGGGCCTTTTATACACAGAAGCAGCTTAGTTCTACACCAGTCGCTGTCAGAACTACTCCAACCGTTATGTAAGTTTCCTTACATTAAGAGGTCCACCTCATACGACGTTACGTATTTGACCCCATAATTCCACATTTTTCTTTGCTGTTACTCCTCTCAAGCATTGAATGCCAGTATGCTTAACAGGGACCACCATAATATTTTTTCATTATATGTGCTGTTCGTGATGTACTCTGCGCTAATATATTGCTGTCTTGAGTTATTTTTTCCCAGTGTGCCATATCTTCTCTAGATAGTTAGAGGGATTATAAAACCTAGACAACAGTGCCACCTTCTGGCAATTCTATAAATGCTCTTTGCCGTGCGGATAACCGTATTTTTTTTTATTACTTTTAACGTTCAATTGTATGTTTAATTTATATATACGGTAACAGTGCAAAAGTCATATGCAATCGAAGAAGGTGTTCAAAACTATTTATTGAACTCAATTTATTTTTATATAGCGCCTTTCACAACAGAGTAGCCCCAAGGCAAAATCACAACATGAGCATATTGTAGTACATTACTACATAATTTATACAGAATAATGCAAAAACTGGGAACAGAGAAGGCAATGAATGAACGAATGAATGAATGAATGACAGCCAGATGACAACCGAGGAGAGGAGGATTTATCTGTGCAGTAAGTGTATATTTGCTCAGAAAAACACACAATTCAGCATTAGATCATATGCAAATTAACAGTAACGCGATTAAAACTAATAGGAATTTCTTCTGTTCTCCAAAACGTTACTGATATCTTGTTGCACGGCTAGATGGACACCGCTTCAGTTCCCAAACCTCTCCTCAGGGGCACCCCAGCCATTCCATGTGTTTATTAAATTAACCACCAGCTCACTTAGTTAATGAAGTTAATTAGTTAAATAACTCAATAAGGTAGAGATCATCCGGACATGGGTATGTTATTGGTCGAGTTGGATGGTTGCTGCAGATACTTCTTTAGGAGTAGTTGATGTAGTTTTACACCACCACGAAGATCATTTAAACATCATTTACTTTGACTCCCTAAGACTTTTGTACAGTGTGTGTATGTATGTGTTATTATGTTTATATTACATTATGGGGATGAAATGTAATAAAATATAATAAAAACCTGTTATTTTGATGATTATTTTTACTGCAATCAGAAAACTACAACCCGAATTCCGGAAAAGCTGGGACGTTCTTTAAATTTGAATAAAATGAAAACTGAAAGACTTTCAAATCACATGAGCCAATATTTTATTCACAACAGAACATAGATAACATAACAAATGTTCAAACTGGGAAATTGTACTCCTTTATCCACTAAATGAGCTCATTTCAAATTTGATGCCTGCTACAAGTCCCAAAAAAGTTGGCTGACAAATGGCTGAAAAAACAAGAAAGTTTAAAAAGATTCTGCAGGGAGAACATCTAGCAAATAATTAAGTTAATTGATATCAGGTCTGCAACATGATTAGCTATAAAAGGCATGTCTTAGAGAGACAAAGTCTCTCCAATCTGTGAAATAGTATGTAAAAAGATTGTGGAATACTTTAAAAACAATGTTCCTCAACGTCAAATTGCAAAGGCTTTGCCAAACTCATCATCCGCAGTGCATAACATCAAAAGATTCAGAGAAACTGGAGATATTTCTGTGCATAAGGGACAAGAATGAAGACCTTTATTGGATGCCTGTGGTCTTCGGGCCCTCAGACGACTCTGCGTCACTGATCGGCATGATCGTGTCAATGACATTACTAAATGGGCCCAGGAATACTTCCAGTAACCACTGTTGGTAAACGCAATCCGCCGTGCCATCTGCAGATGCCAACTAAAGGTCTACCATGCAATAAGGAAGCCATATCTGAACATGGTCCAGAAGTGCTGTCAAGTCATGTGGGCCAAGACTCATTTGAAACAGACTGTTTCAAAGTGGGAAAGTGTTCTATGGTCAGAAGAGTCCAAATTTGACATTCTTGTTGGTAATCATGGACGCCGTGTCCTCCGGGCTAAAGAGAAGGGAGACCTTCCATCGCTGATGGTATAGGAGTGTATAAGTGCATATGGTATGGGCAGCTTGCATGTTTTGGAAGGAACTATGAATGCTATAAAGCTTTTAGAGCAACGTGTGCATGTCCAGACGACGTCTGTTTCAGGGATGGCCTTGTGTATTTCAGCAGGACAATGCAAAACCACATACTGCAGCTATTACAGCAGCATGGCTTCATCGGGGAAGAGTCCGGGTGCTGAATTGGCCTGCCTGCAGTCCAGATCTTTCACCTATAGAGCGCATTTGGCGCATCATTGCACGAAAAATATGTCAAAGACGACCACGAATGCTTCAGCAGCTGGAAACCTATATCAGGCAAGAATGGGATCAAATTCCAACACCAAAACTCCAGAAACTCATAACCTCGATGCCCAGACGTCTTCAAACTGTTTTGAAAAGAAGAGGAGATGCTACACCATGGTAAACATGCCTCTGTGCTACACCATGGTAAACATGCCTCTGTCCCAACTATTTTGAGACCAAGCATCAAATTTGAAATTGGCTCATTTTGGGCATAAAATTGTAATATTTCTCAGTTTAAATATTTGTTATGTTACGTTGTGAATAAAATATTGCCTCATTTGATTTGAAAGTCATTTTGTTTTCATTTTATTCAAGTATAAAGAACGTCCCAACTTTTCCGGAATTTGGGTTGTAAAAATGTCGCGACCCTATATCAGGTATAGGTTTAAATTACTGCTATGATCAAGCATGCAGTCCATTCTGCAATTAACGCCAATCAATGCCTATCGCACAAATCTGATTGGAGGTGCCAGTGAATTTAAAATCAAGCATCTATGGTTTGGCTTCTTGGATTGGTTGAGTGTTCACTGGTTTGGCACTAAGGATTTGCAGAATTCTAGGATTGGGGCTGAGAAATCTGATCATGGATCAGTATAGGAGCTTGCTGGTTTTAAAATGCTTACATTTCTAACTCTGCCTCACAACCCTTTCAGAACTTGCCACAGCCTAAATTTAGGTCGTGACCTATGGGTCGAGAATCGCTGCACTGCATTATTGTGGCGTTATAATAAACTGATAACGTAGTTCAGACTGACGCAAAGCTACTAAAGTATTAGATGCTATGACACTGATATCAAACATGGTAAATCCCTTGTGTTCCACCTCTGATATCACACACGAGCCCCCCCCATCCAAAAAACATGCGATTGTAGGTAGGCATAAATTAAGTCCATGCATAGTTGTTAGTGTATCACCAGCTAAAAAGGTTGCTGGTTCGAATCCCCAACCAGCTAGGCACTACTGAGGCACCCTATGCAAGGTACCACCCACACACACTGCTTCCTGCGTGCTGAATTAGCTGCTCACTACTATGTCACATATGTGTTAAATGGAGAGGACACATTATATTGTTGTGTGCTGTGGTGTGTCAACAATGACAATCACTGTCACCTTTATTTCTATAAACCCGAAAATATTTATAATTTTCGTTCAGAATGCAGGTTTCTTGGTGTTGTGATCAGGAAGCGATAGGCCTATTATACCAATTCTTTTAGTACCTGTCGAAACCTATGCAGTGCCCTAGGCAGGCTTCATCGTCGCTGCCCTCAGTTGACAAAGTAAATTGGGTTGCTAAGACACGGCCACCCAAAAGATAGCGGTCACATATGTCGGGTTGACCCAACGGTATCTAGGCCTATTTATGCATCTATCCATCTTCTATAACTCCTAGTAGCTGCAAGGTCGCAGGAAGCACAGGATACTCAATACCCTGGACAATATTTGCGTAAGATTTCGAGGGATACTTTGGAAACGGTACGGAAATTTGCATTGCATACTTTTATAAATTGAACCAATACCGTAATGCATCGAAAAGATAAATTATCCATTTCAGCAAATGTTGTATTATTTCGAAAAGGTGTTTTAAGCAGAATTACAAAACCTCTGGCAAAATTACTCAGTATATACTCATTGAATTTATAAACGTATTGTACAGCTGATGGAAAAACACACATCATAACTCGGGAGAGTAAGGACTCGTCTCTGGGTTAAGCGCTAAACAAGCTCCTTTGCGTATAGCACAAACAAGGAAATCTACCTCTTAATAATTCAGACACACGCTAATGCTGATTTATTCGCCACCAGCGGCGCTCGCAGAGCTGAAATTTGAATGAAAGTAGGACAGAGGCAGACCGCTCTGTAATAACATTTGGATAATTTCATTATTGCTGTCGGCTCAGTTCATTTGCTCCTCCAGTAGCTGCGTGAAATTGTCTGATTCCCGGATCGCCCTGAGTCGCTCTCCGGAG